CAAGCCTGGATCCGCCAGTGCAGATAGGTAGGTAGGTAGGTACTAGTTAGGGTATGAGTCATTTGACATCCTCAATCCTTTAACCCTCGCACGCACATGCCATTTTCCCATCCTAGAACGCACGTGGGGGGTTGCCACCCCCCCGCGCCATTTCGTTCCTGTTGGAGATAGAGCTTCGCGGTAAAGACCAAAAAGATTCTTTGGGAAGAGACGAATCCAATGATACCCAGTTTTACCTTGTCAGGTCAGTCATTGACCTTCCAGGTCAGGTCAAACTAAAAAATGTTGCTGTTTTGGGTCACCGTTGGTTATCAAGTGCGCTGCTCAGCATATACCGATGACGATGCCATTTTCTGGTGCCAAACCAGCTAGAACCTCTTTGTCACACTACCCGACCAGGTTTTTGCTGCTGAGGTCATTTCAGGTCAAGTTAGGTCAAGGTCAATGATGTGTTTGTATGTCTGTGTGTGTCTGTGTGTATACTGATGTGTGCACCGATTGTTTATGTGTTCATATTACATGAAATCATGATCTGAGAAGCTTTTACCAAAAATGCAGTCAAAAAACTTTACGAAATTTCTGGTGACTGCATTGACAAAAATGCAGTCAAAAAACTTTAGCTTGCCTAAAACGCAATTATTTTAGATGACCTAGGTTGACCTTGACCCTGACCTTGACATTTGTACATCGTCGAACAACATGTCCCATGATAGGTGGGAGGTAAGACTGGCAAAGAAGGCCGAAATCAAGGTGTCAAATGCTCACAAGGCCCACAGCCAACGCACGATGTTGAGAATTGGTTATTTGGGTCATGACATGACCTGAAAAACAAGGTCATATCTCCGAAACCAAAAACACAGAAACTTGAAATTTTCAGTGGACATTAAGATAGGATAGAGGATCAACAAAGGATCAGCCACCCCCCCCCCCCATGTGCGGGCGAGGGTTAAGTAAAATGTGATGGCAAAAATACAATACAAAAACGAGATATTTTGAGCACTGCTCGTTCTCAATCGGTTCACAGGTTAGTATCAGTGCAAAAACACGTCTCACTTCAAAGTAACAATTTGTCACAATTCGTGAGACGTTTCGAGCATGAGCAAAAACAAAAACTTCGAGCAAAAACACGTCTCACGAATCCATTCGTGAGACGTGTTTTTGCACTTATACTATCCTGCGAACCGATTGAGAAAGAGCTGTGCTCGAAATATTTCGTTTTTGTATTGTATTTTTGCCATCACATTTTACTTAAAGGATTGAGGATACGGTCAAATGACTCATACCGTAATAACAATGATTTTCCTCATAACGCTAAACTTAATCAAAGGCAGATAGGTACTAGTTAGGTACTGTTGTTTTCTTACAGTATCAGCCTCTTGAGTTTTATTTTTCGTGAATGCTCTGAGTGCTTCTGCGACGTGAAAAGGACAGGTCCGGTGAGGGTTAACCCTCGCGGGCCCGGGGGGGGGCGTTTTTCGCCCCCCCCCCCTGCCGAATATTTGCGATAACTCCCGAACGCTTAGGGATAGGAAGGCGAAACTTTCAGTACCTTTTCTCCCATCAATTTGACATCTTCTGAAGTAAAAAATTTGGACCTAGCCCCCTTGATGACGTCACAAGGTTCATTTTTCTAGACCCCTGCACGGCAAACTTCGGCGTCACAGACACAAACTTCAAATAGCTGCTAAAAATAGAGTTTTAGAGATAAAGACAAATTACGAGCACGGCTGTGTAGCGTTTGACCTAGAGAAAAATAGAAAAATAGTTTTGGTGACCTGAGGTCAGAGGTCAGGTCAACGACTCCGAAATGTGGTTTTAGTTTTTCGCAAATAACTTCGACAAAAATGGTCCTAGAGCTACGGCAGGGGTACCATCGCATTCGCCTTGTCAAGCCGCGTCGAATGATATATATTTTGTTCGGAAAAGGTCAAGTTTCATGTTGACCTCATGTGACCTCGAATGACCTCTGGTTGACCTTGACACATGAAAGGTCGTTTATGATGGATTTGTACCCGCTGATCACGAATCTGGCATCTATTTTCCTCTAAGCCTTCATTTAGAGCTTCCGGATGGCAAAATTGTCTTATTAATTATTACTAACTTGAATCAGTGAAATAGCCTCTAGCAGGGATACTCTTCTGTGACCTTGACCTTTCAGCAGCCTTGTATCGTAAGATGAACCACAAATAGGGAACTGATAAGCCTCAAAACATTTCAAAACATCTTGGAAGTTAGCACGCAAGATGTGCGAAAAAGTGCCAAGTTTGAGGTCAATTTTAAGCGTGACCTTGACCTTGACCTTTGATTTGGAGCACATTTTCAGAATCCTCAGATTCTCTTCTTTTGTTTGACACCCAATTTTTCCGGTTTGATGCAGCCTGCCGTCCTCTAGAAGGCTTACTTTGAGATCACTACACATGTGCCGGTTTTGGCCTTTGACCTTGACCTCTGACCTTGAAAATTGACCTGAGGTCAAAAATTTTAGGTGCATTAGAATCGTCTCGTAAGGACCTTTCGTTTGGTATCGCTTTCGTTTCCGTAGCTCCCTTATTTACGGAGTTAGACAGGGGGGGCGAAAAACGCACCCCCCGGGCTGCGGTGGTTGGGATTACCCCCCGGGCCCGGCCGGGTTAACCCATGCTTGACAGGGGAGGGATGGGATGGGGGGGGGAGCTTTACAGTGCCCCTGTCGTTTTTTAATACCTTCTAAGCCACCCGATGTTGTAACAGTAAGCTTGAAGTACTATCGGTTTTATCAATAATGTGACAATTTGTGTTCAAATGCAAATTTCGTACCTACATGTCATAGATCGGCCGAAATTGACGTCAGAGTGGCGTTATGTTCGGCTGATTTTGATGCAAAACATGGCTCACGGTAATCACTCAACACCCAGCTGTTTAGCTACAACGTTTTTTTTTTTTTTTGCATTAGAGTAGACAAACTTTTTTACCTGACCGTGACCTGGACTTCGCTATAACCAGCTATAAATGGCTTCGAACGGCACTATTTGCATGTTTTATGGCCAAAATGGACCATGAAACGTGCTTCTCATAACCTATACAAGTCTCTAACTTAAAGGGACTATCCCACCTTTAACATGGGGTTTGAGTTGAGATAGCCAAGTTTGCGGCGAGGTTCAGAAACCACTATCTATCTAGGTTGCAACCCCCGCGGCCTCTTGGTGTTGAAGAAATTCGTTCCCTTCATTTGAAAATGGGCCTTGCGCAAGGCCCTATCTTCAACATGGAGCGACCGTTAGTGTGACGTCAGCTCGTTTAGTCATTCTGATTTAAATGGGTTTGTTCGTTGAAAAATCGCTTAAAACTTGGTCTGAACTTTGTTGTGGTGCCTACAGAGTAAAAAGAATCAGCTTTATGACAGTACTGTGGCCTGGGGAAAGAGGTAATTTTGGGCTGTGATGTCACATATTTGAAAGTTTGTGTTTGGAATATGGGAAGCCTAAGATGTTTTATGAAAAATAAACGCCAGAACCGTGTTCCTGGTCATCCAATCTATAAAGTCGGGCACAATTTAACTGGTTTTAACATTTTAGAAGGTGGGATAGTTCCTTTAATGCGATCATTTGTGACGTAGTCTGACCTAGCATTGACTTGAGCCAAATCAAGTACAGGTCTGGTGCCCACAAGGTATCTTTGGCATCAATGTATCAGTGTGCAGGTAAACCAAACGTGAGCTTGAAGTGACGTATCTGGCGGCGACTTAGCGCGAAGAGTAAACCGCTAAATGTCGATATTTTTACTTCGACCTGACCATTTTTGACCCAATATCTGCAGCTGATATCTGACGTGACCTACAGTTACGGTATTACTTATCGGTGACCTCGAGGTCAATAAAATTAGTTTTTTTTCTACAGTTTTTCCAGGATAATTACATGACGTTTCAAATTTTTCAATGGCACAAATATTTCAAGGGTGCGTATTATTTAGGCCAGGGTTCATAATGTCCAGGGCATGATGTGTCCAGTGCTCGAAATGGCCAGTGCCTTGAATTGGCCAGTGTTCATATTGTCCAGGGATTACATGGTCCAAATGTGGCCAACTGGCTGCAGATAGGGTAAATTCAAAGAGGCCAGGGTTCATAATGTCCAGGGCACGATGTGTCCAGTGCTCGAAATGGCCAGGGTTCATAATGTCCAGGGCACGATGTGTCCAGTGTTCGAAATGGCCAGGGTTCATAATGTCCAGGGCACGATATGTCCAGTGTTCAAAATGGCCAGTGCCTTGAATGGGCCAGAGTTCATAGTGTCCAGGGATTACATAGTCCACCCAACCCAACCAAACCTAACCTATCCTAACCTAACCTAAAATAACCTAACCTAACCTAACCTAACCTAACCTAACCTAACCTAAGGTAATGATGTTTGCCTACCGGGGATAAGGAAATAATATCTCGCATGAATAGATTGCAAGCAATAGTAAATCAAATATTTTTAGGTTAAGTGGTTATGCATCAGGCTTCAGGCCTTCGGCCTGAAGCCAGATACATAACCACTTAACCTAAAAATATTTGATTTACTATTGCCTGTAATCTCTCCTAAGGCATTGCCTTCGGCACTGCACTGCTTCGCATTGAGCTGGTTCCGTGTTTTTTACATAATGACGTCACTTTCAGTGACTATGTAATCCCTGGACACTATGAACTCTGGCCCATTCAAGGCACTGGCCATTTTTAACACTGGACACATCGTGCCCTGGACATTATGAACCCTGGCCATTTCGAACACTGGACACATCGTGCCCTGGACATTATGAACCCTGGCCTCTTTGAATATACCCTATCTGCAGCCAGTTGGCCGCATTTGGACCATGCAATCCCTGGACATTATGAACTCTGGCCCATTTAAGGCACTGGCCATTTCGACACTGGGCATAACGTACCCTGGACATTATGAACCCTGGCCAGAATGAATGCTCCCCTATTTCAAAGAGTTAAGCGTCGTGAGGAATAACATCATGATGGTTATGCACATATACAGGGTGCGGACGGTATTCGTGCGCCGTTGCAACGCTAATTTAAAAATGACGCTGTGAGCACAGTTTTAGAGATATATTCATCAAACTTCGTACACATACACTCCTTTGCATGAGCTACAGGACTACTCGATGAAGCCGCCACCAGCGTTGACGACTGCTTCCAGGCGGCGCCTGAACCTGCCGCAGGCCATCGTCACCGCCTCCCGCGACAAATCCCCGAAGGCTCTGGTGATCCTGGCCTTTAGCTCGCTCTTGTTGTTGCAGCAGGACTTGTTAGTCTCTCGTTCCACTGCGCCCCATACAAAGAAGTCCAGCGGGTTGCAGTCGGGCGAGCTGGGCGGCCAGATGCCTGGTCCGGTATGATCGGTGAAGTTGTCCGACAGCCATGCCTGGGTCTTCCGGCTAGTGTGGCATGGTGCCGAGTCCTGCTGCCACACGAACGGCCTCCCAGCAGCCACCTGATCGATCCAGGGCTTCACGACTTCACTCAGTTCAGTTCAGTTCAGTTCAGTTCATTGTATTTTTTCCATATGTAAACAAGAACAACGAACAAAACAATAGAGGATTGGCGCAAAAGCAAAAAGCTTAAATCAAAGGCGCCTCTCCAATTAAGTTAAACAAAGAACACATGACCAAACCAAAGTATCAGAAAGCGTCGACCCCGCCCGAAACCCGCCGAGCCAAAAAAGCAGACAGTACCCGGCCCCAGGCGACGGACGACTCCAATCGGGCCAGCTTGCGTCATAGTGTCATGTTTTGTGTTTTGTAATGTAGTGTAGTGTTATGTAAGCAGTGTGTTGCATTAATATCAATGGTACTTAAATGCACTAACTAAACAGTTATGTTGTATTGGTAAACCGATTTGTCTCTACAATAAATGTCTGAAGGTGATGGGTGATTTGTGTGCCTTGATGCTTGTTTAAGTCTTTTGCAAAGAGAAGGGTATCAAGTTTTAATTTTGCTGAGAAATTGTCAAAATTTGGAGTGATGATTCGAACTGCATTTATAAGTTTTACTCTTTGTGTATGGTAAAGTGGGCACCAGAGTATGAAGTGAGTTGTGTTCTCATCGTGATAACCGCAAGCACATACTGGGCTGGGTGTGTTGGGGTGTTGTATATTGAACAGGTGTGCCTTGAGAGTCGTCATGCCCACTCTCAATCGTGTGTGTAGTGTGTTACGCGTTTTGTTGCCGAAAGAAAAGAAAGTGGGTGGCTCTGGTGCCCCAAATCGCTGCCAGACTTGACGAGCAAAAGCGGAGCGGGATGAGGTGTTACGCAATGTGTCTGGGAGAGTATTCCAGAGTCTTATTGTCGAAGGAAAAAAGGCTCTATAGAAAGAAGTGAGATTGGTAGGGGGGAAAGTAAGAGATTGAGCATTGCGAAGTCTAAGTCCCGTGGCGTCTTGTCTGGTTTCTGTCAATATGTCTTTAATGTATGAAGGGAGAGGAGGATGATTGAAGTAAAGTCTGTGAAAGAATAGAAGCTTATGAATTAATCGTCTTGTCTCAAGTCGTTCCCATCCTAGTTCGGTAAGTAATGCGGTAGTTGGTGTTCGATAAAGCGTCCCTGTTACAAGTCTGGCACAGCGGTTCTGAAGCGTCTGGAGTCGGATGGCGTCAGTTGATGTCAAATGTCCGTCGTAAACAATATCACAATAGTCGAAATGAGGTGTTATATAGGTAGAGTAAATGTTGTTCAAGACTGGTCTAGGAAGAAGCTTAGCCACGGGATATATCGGTCCTAGGAGAATGTTAATTGTCCGAATGACGTTATTGATGTGTGCGCGAAAGTGAAGGTCCGTCGAGAGTGTCAGTCCGAGATGTTTATGACTTGTCACGGTCGGTATGTCCTGCCCGTCAAATGTGAGTGCTGGAGGACAGCTGTCTCGTCGGTTTGTAAATGTCTGTTGTAGTGTCTTTTTAGCGTTGAAGGTGATGGCCCAGTCAGTCCCATATCGTTTAATCTCGTCCAGGTCGTTCTGCAAGGAGCGTCTATGATCCTGACTGTCGTGGGGATGGGAAGAGTAAAGTGAAGTGTCGTCAGCGTAAAAGAGAGCGTCATTTTTGGTCTTGTTTGATAGATCGTTGAGGTAAATTAAGGCCAGAAGAGGTCCAAGCACCGAACCCTGGGGGCAACCGGATAGTATTTTTTTGGGATGATGATAGACTGTCTCCAACACGAACAACCTGTTCGCGATCTGTATGGTAAGAGTTAAGCCAGGCTAGCAGAGAACCGGAAATATTGCACTCGATTTTGCATTTTAAAAGGAGTCCATCATGCCAAATTTTATCAAAATATTTCGAGATGTCAAGATAGATAGCTGTAAAGTTTTGACTTTTGTTTAGAGCAGAGTATAGCTGGTGAGTTAGATACAAGAGCTGAATTTGTGTGCTATGGCCCGGACGATATCCACTTTGTTTTTCTGAAAGTAAGTTGTTTCCATTCAAATGAGAATATATCTTGGAAAAAACGATTTTTTCGAGAATTTTAGAGAGATTGGGAAGAAGACTAATAGGACGATAGTTTGTTGGATCTGAGCTAGATCCCTTTTGCTTGAAGATTGGAGTGACACAGGCTTTTTTCCAAAGTGAGGGGAACCTTCCTAGTTGAAGTGATTTGTTAAAGAGTTTGGACAGAGGTTCAGCAAGTAAAAGTGCACACATTTTTAATAATTTGTTAGGAATTTTGTCCGGGCCTGTTGCCTTGTTGATGTCTAAGGAATTTAGAATTTTGATAACTTCGGGCTCGGTGACTTGGACATCCGTTAGCGGAGGAATAGGGGGAACAGGAATAGGGATTTCAGGCATTTGCAAGTTGTGTGTGTCTAGTCGAGTCTGGGATGCAAAGTGGTCATTTAAGATTGTCGCTTTGTCAAAGTCGTCTGAGATTGGTATGCCGTCTTGATTTATAAGCGGTGGCATGCTACGATGAGTCCTTTTTCCGATAATACTGTTTAAAATTTTGTAATATGATCGTGGGTCCTTTTTATGGTCAAGAAGTTTGTCAATTTGGTTTTGTATGTGTCTATTTTTAAGTCTTTGGTTTGTCTCTGTGGTCTTGTTTCGCTGTCGTCTCCATCGTTCCCAGTCATCGTCCGTGTTACGTCTTTTTGCTATGTTGAAAAGCCTATTCCGCTTGCGTATTTCTCGTTTAAGTTCAATGGTAAGCCATGGTTTGTCGTGAGATTTTATTGTAATTTTCCGACTTGGAATGGCTGCTTTGGCTGCAGTTAATAGAGCGTCAGTCAAGTTATATGCTGCGTCGTCCAAGTCACAGTCCAAAAGTCTGTCCCAGTCAGTGTCCATCAAAAGTCGTGTCAGTTTGTCTGCGTCCATATGTCTGTAGTCCCATAGTTTAATGGAATATGTTACGCTGGAGGGGCGACTTATGTTAAGACAGGCAAATATTGGTAAATGATCAATTTTTGAAAAAGGAGGAAGTGTACCACTGTCAAGGACCATTTCTGGGTTTGATACTATAAGAAGATCGCGTAAATTGGTAACACTGGTGTCTGCATAACGTGTGGGTTGATTAATGAGCTGCTTGAGGTTGAGTGAATAAAGTTCATCCTGTAGGGTAATTTCAAATGGTGTTACGGGGCTATGGTTAAATAAGTCTGAGTTGAGATATGTGTTTCCAGCATTAAAATCTCCCAAAATAACAATATTGTCTGGTGAGTGGACTTGAGCTAGGGTTATGGATTCGTTTAAGTTTTCTAAGAAATTAGTATGCTGTGGTGCGGTCATATTCGGAGGAAGGTATACTGTGCACACTATTACACTAAATTTACCTAATTTTATCAGACACCAAATCCATTCATAGTCGTGATGTTCGAGATGAAAGAGTCGTTTAACCGGAATATTACTGCGAACGTACATAGCCACCCCTCCCCCATTTCTATTCCTATGTTTAGTCAATGGGTCATGAAAGTTGTCAAGGGTGTAAAGAGAAGGGTGTACTGTGTCGTCAAGCTTTGTCTCAGAAAGTCCCAGTATGTCGATCTCGTGAAGAGAGGAAAAGTAGGATAGCTCGTCAAGTCGGCAGCGAGATGTGATGGAATTTATATTTACGTGTGATACGATGATGTGGTTGTTGTGGCTTCCGCTTGAAGATCTAGAATGTGTTGACGTGTCTGGTGTAGACGCCGCCGACCCAACTGAAGCAGCCCGGCACCCGGGACCTGAAGAAAGTGAAATGACGCTCAGCAGATGTCGGTGGCGCGGCGACGGGCGATAAACAGAACATTCACATAAAAAACAATCAAACAACAAGACCAAACAATGCATATAACAAAATAACTCAGATAGACGGTAAAATTAAACGATTTAAACTTACGGAAACTGACAAAAACAAAAACAAAACAAATGGCAAAGCAGAACGTAGCAGAAAGAATACACATGGATAAATACATCTGAACTCTAAAACTATTTGCATTCACTGCTGACACTTAAAAGAGTACCTTACGTCACACGAAGAGTTTAACAAACCCAAGCCGACGCCCCGACCCCCCCCCCCCCCCCATCCCCATCCCCCAGCCGCCACCCCGGAAGCCCGGTCGTAATCCCAGATCCAAACAGCCCCCCCCCCCCGTCGCATCCAAACCCCAGCTCTCCCTCCCCTCGGAAGCCCCAAGCACAAGGCAATAGTACCCAAACACTTGATCACCTGTACCGCCCACTACACGCCGACCACCAAACCAGCGTCGACGGAGACGAGCGACGACCAGAGACGAGCGAGGACGTCAGTCGCCCGTCTGAGGACCGACGACCGTGGACGTCAGGCGGGCAGACAGCCGGCCGCCGGCACCGCCAACGGCGCAGGCAGCCGGCCACGACGCCGACAACGAGCAGGGACGGCAGCCAGGCAGCCGGCCGCCGGCACCGACGACCATGGCGCAGACAGACGACCGGGGATGACAGACGGACAGCCGCCGCCGTCGGCACCGAACACAGCGCCGGCAGAGACGAGCGGGAACAGCAGGCGGGCAGCCGGCCGTCGGCACCGACCACGGCGTCGACGGAGACGTAGACAGCGGGGCTCAGCAGGTGGAGACGTAGACAGCGGGAACGGCAGGCGGGCAGCCGGCCGTCGGCCCGACCACGGCGTCCACGGAGGCGTAGACAGCGGGGCTCAGCAGGCGGGCTGCCGCCGTCGGCACCGAACACAGTGCTGGCAGAGACGAGCGGGAACGGCAGGCGGGCAGCCGGCCGTCGGCACCGACCACGGCGTCGACGGAGACGTAGACAGCGGGGCTCAGCAGGTGGGCAGCCGGCCGTCGGCCTGACCACGGCGTCGACGGAGACGTAGACAGCGGGGCTCAGCAGGCGGGCAGCCGGCCGTCGGCACCGACCACGGCGTCGACGGAGACGTAGACAGCGGGGCTCAGCAGGTGGGCAGCCGGCCGTCGGCACCGACCACGGCGTCGACGGAGACGGAGACAGCGGGGCTCAGCAGGTGGAGACGTAGACAGCGGGAACGGCAGGCGGGCAGCCGGCCGTCGGCCCGACCACGGCGTCGACGGAGGCGTAGACAGCGGGGCTCAGCAGGCGGGCTGCCACCGTCGGCACCGAACACAGTGCCGGCAGAGACGAGCGGGAACGGCAGGCGGGCAGCCGGCCGTCGGCACCGAACACAGTGACGGCAGAGACGAGCGGGAACGGCAGGCGGGCAGCCGGCCGTCGGCACCGACCACGGCGTCGACGGAGACGGAGACAGCGGGGCTCAGCAGGTGGGCAGCCGGCCGTCGGCACCGACCACGGCGTCGACGGAGACGTAGACAGCGGGGCTCAGCAGGTGGGCAGCCGGCCGTCGGCACCGACCACGGCGTCGACGGAGACGGAGACAGCGGGGCTCAGCAGGTGGAGACGTAGACAGCGGGAACGGCAGGCGGGCAGCCGGCCGCCGGCCCGACCACGGCGTCGACGGAGGCGTAGACAGCGGGGCTCAGCAGGCGGGCCGCCGCCGTCGGCACCGAACACAGTGCCGGCAGAGACGAGCGGGAACAGCAGGCGGGCAGCCGGCCGTCGGTAACGACCACGGCGTCGACGGAGACGTAGACAGCGGGGCTCAGCAGGTGGGCAGCCGGCCGTCGGCACCGACCACGGCGTCGACGGAGACGGAGACAGCGGGGCTCAGCAGGTGGAGACGTAGACAGTGGGAACGGCAGGCGGGCAACCGGCCGTCGGCCCGACCACGGCGTCGACGGAGGCGTAGACAGCGGGGCTCAGCAGGCGGGCTGCCGCCGTCGGCATCGAACACAGTGCCGGCAGAGACGAGCGGGAACGGCAGGCGGGCAGCCGGCCGTCGGCACCGAACACAGTGACGGCAGAGACGAGCGGGAACGGCAGGCGGGCAGACGGCCGTCGGCACCAACGACGGCGTCGACGGAGACGGAGACAGCGGGGCTCAGCAGGTGGGCAGCTGGCCGTCGGCCCGACCACGGCGTCGACGGAGACGTAGACAGCGGGGCTCAGCAGGCGGGCCGCCGCCGTCGGCACCGAACACAGCGCCGGCAGAGACGAGCGGGAACGGCAGGCGGGCAGCCGGCCGTCGGCACCGAACACAGTGACGGCAGAGACGAGCGGGAACGGCAGGCGGGCCGCCGGCCGCCGGCACCGACCACGGCGTCGACGGAGACGGAGACATCGGGGCTCAGCAGGTGGGCAGCCGGCCGCCGGCACCGACGACCATGGCGCTGGCAGACGACCGGGGATGACAGACGGACAGCCGCCGCCGTCGGCACCGAACACAGCGCCGGCAGAGACGAGCGGGAACGGCAGGCGGGCAGCCGGCCGTCGGCACCGAACACAGTGACGGCAGAGACGAGCGGGAACAGCAGGCGGGCAGCCGGCCGTCGGCACCGACCACGGCGTCGACGGAGACGTAGACAGCGGGGCTCAGCAGATGGGCAGCCGGCCGTCGGCACCGACCACGGCGTCGACGGAGACGGAGACAGCGGGGCTCAGCAGGTGGAGACGTAGACAGCGGGAACGGCAGGCGGGCAGCCGGCCGTCGGCCCGACCACGGCGTCGACGGAGGCGTAGACAGCGGGGCTCAGCAGGCGGGCTGCCGCCGTCGGCACCGAACACAGTGCCGGCAGAGACGAGCGGGAACAGCAGGCGGGCAGCCGGCCGTCGGCACCGACCACGGCGTCGACGGAGACGTAGATAGCGGGGCTCAGCAGGTGGAGACGTAGAGAGCGGGAACGGCAGGCGGGCAGCCGGCCGTCGGCACTGACCACGGCGTCGACGGAGACGGAGACAGCGGGGCTCAGCAGGTGGGCAGCCGGCCGTCGGCACCGACCATGGCGTCGACGGAGGCGTAGACAGCGGGGCTCAGCAGGTGGGCAGCCGGCCGCCGGCACCGACGACCATGGCGCCGGCAGAGACGACCGGGGACGACAGACGGACAGCCGCCGCCGTCGGCACCGAACACAGTGCCGGCAGAGACGAGCGGGAACGGCAGGCGGGCAGCCGGTCGTCGGCACCGACCACGGCGTCGACGGAGACGTAGACAGCGGGGCTCAGCAGGTGGGCAGCCGGCCGCCGGCACCGACCACGACGTCGACAACGAGCAGGGACGGTAGGCGGGCAGCCGGCCGTCGGCACCGACCACGGGCGGGCACCCAGCTGGCAGTCAAGCTGGAAGAGCTACCTCGCGATCTCCGACGGCGTAACTGCTACTCGAATCGACGGAGATCAGTCTTGCACCTCAGCCTCACCGTCGCCGACTGCTGGGACTGCTTAACCTTCAGTACACAGCCGTCCGACCAAACCGCCCACAGCTTCCCGGCCCGCTTCAGCTGCCGCGCAAGATACATGATCTCTTGGTTCTTGCGAGTCAGGTTCTCTTGCACGAATACCTCCTTGGTTGCTCCGTCGGTCAGACCAGAACTCCGCGGCGGCTTAGCCTGCCTCAGCTGCTTCCGACCAAACCATACAGCTTCACGCTTTAAGTACGAGACGTACTTTACGACCAGGGTGCGAGGCGACGGGGCTGGCTGGTTTGGGGCAGCCTCCCTGGGTCTGCCGACGCGGTGTGCCCTGTCGATATCCGCCCGTTCTAACTTGACGTTAGCCATCTTGGCAAGGTCGATAGCGAGTTGCACAGTATTTTCATCTCTCGATTCCGGCACCCCTGTAAAGTTCAAGCAGTTCCGCCGCGAATACTGCTCGAGGTCGGCAAGACGCTCCTCCTGCTGGGAGATCACCAGCTTGCTGGCCGCCACCTCCTCCTTTAGCTCTCGGATCTCCTTCTCTTTCTCTTCAAGGCCGAAGAGCTCCCTCAGTGTTGCGCGAATCTCCGCATCGCCAAGCATGGCAAGAAGTCCCGCCTTCAAATCACTGAGTTCCGGCATTTTTGCTTCAATCACCCGCCGCCGCGCCACGCACTAGTCCGCACTAGATCCCCTCACCGCCGGGCTGGACGGCTGAGCCCTGGCCGCTGACCGCACAAACACCGGGTCGGGGTCACGGGGTCACCGGGCGGGCGGAGCGGGGCCGCACACGTCCTGACCCTTGGCCGGTCAGTGGAACACTCAGAACTCGGATGTACCCGTTGGTGTCCAGCCTGAGGCCCTCAGCGAAGAAGTGGGGTGGCATGACGTCACCCTCGCTGCTTACGACGCCGAAGACCATGATGGTTGCTGGGAACTTGGTCTGCATGACTCTTGGAACGTCCTTGGGAGATACAGCCAACCACCGATTGTTCTGCGAGTTCAGCTTCTGGTCTTGACAGAAGTTCTTCTCGCCAGAGAAGAACCACATCATGTTGGGCTCCAGTGGATGTTTGAGCTTGTTGATGAGCTTGTTGGCATGCTTGAGCCGCTTTTCCTGCGTTGCTTGGGACAGAAACTGACCCTTCTGCATCTTGTAAGACGAGTACCGGATGTCCTCGTGGACCACCAGCCTCACCACCTTCTCATCCACGCCAACCTCTCGTGCAATGGCGCGCATGGACTTGCCGGGGTCTGCGTTGATGAGTTCCTGGACTTGGTGGATGAAATCTGGTGTTCTGACAGCATCAGACCGCCGATTGTGACCTTTTCTTGCTGCAGTGATCTCAAAGTCCCACCCGGAATCCTCTAGCTCCTTCCTGACAGTCTGCACCATCCGTACGCTGATGTCGAAGAACTCCGAAATTTCCTGGTTGGTCTTTCCGGCGCGGATGGCAAGGAGGGCTGCATGTCTCTTCCACAGATTCGGTGGCTGAAACTCATCCATGGTCTCCAAAATCACATGACCGAATGAGGAATTGTTGCCTGATGATTGCTAAAAAAAAAAATATGTCGAAAAATTAAATCACGTGCTAATTATTGCACGATTCGTTGGAGGTGAGCTATGGCTAGTTTGAGCATAATTATGAATATTATGATGGTAGAAAATGACCTTATGCTCATGATACAATGAAATGATATTAAAATAAGTCCAAAAAGTATTATGATATATTTCGACTTGCGTCGTCTTCAGAATGTACATTTTCAGAATTGTCGACGAGCAAATTCAAATCCTTTCAAAATAGCGTGCAACATTTTTGTGAGATCTCTGGCTAACAAATTACAGTCAGGTCATACCTATAATAAATTTTAACAGCGTACAATACAATGAATACAATATCACTGAATAATAATTGGATAAATATTGTCAATGCTACACAATACCTAAAAGTAACACAGGCATATGTTATTTGTGCAGCACGCCAAACTCGCGAAAATGCATAACCTATGCAGAGTGATTGACAGGATAAGATGCATTCATACACTTAATTACACATGCTTCAGGTGCGTACAACTAATACATACACACCGCAGAGTAAACATGACACCAGTGTAGAGCTCGCTGAGGTGGTGTACGAGTGGGGGGGGGACGCTGTCAACTGCGTCTACCCTAAATCGAATTATGTAGTACAAATGGCGATGAAAGACGCACCTAACAAGTACAAGTACTTCAGGTGAGACAAATAAAAAGAATGGATAAGCCAATAGAGACATGCTGACAAAAAAAGAGGACGGAAGGCCAAGCATAGAACATTGCCTATGTGGGAGTGTAGGGAGGGGGATGGAGAAGGGGCCAGGATGAGGTTTGTGTGTTTAGGCATGGTTTTTGGTTTCTTATTTCAACAGATTCTGCTATTTTCAGATCAGCCACATCTTTACATACTCTCTCTATGCTAATTTTGAATGAGGATGACGATATACTACATGATGGGTGGTTGAGGTTGACATGGTCTCCGAGAGGGGTGTTTTTGGTCTTGTTTTTAGCATCCCGTAGATGCTCATCAGTGGCGCAGCCAGGGGGGGTGAAAGGGGTGAGGTCTCACCCCCGTCTCTTATCCTAGGGGCCCACCGTCGATTCGAACTGTAACGTTATGCAGCCTGACATTTTTTTATCATAACATAATGTCAAGGTCCGTCATAGGACTGAAAAACAGTATTCAGGCCTGATAGCCCTTTAGGATTTATAGTCCCATTTTATGAATTAAGAGTGTACACTGTACATACATCCAAGACCCGATTGAACTAATCCAAGGCCTAGGAGGGCCCGTTCCATGGCATGAGAGGGCCATTTCAGGCCTGAGCGGGCCCATTTCAGGTCTGTGAGGGCCCATTTCAGGCCTGAAGGGGCCATTTGAAGCTTGAGAGGGCCCATTTCAGGCCCTAGAGGGCCTGTTTGAGGCCTGAGAGGGCCCCATTTCAGACCTGAGAGGGCCCATTTCAGGCCTGAAGGGGCCATTTCAGGCCCTAGAGGGCATGTTTGAGGCCTGATAGGGCCCATTTCAGGCCTGAGAGGGGCCCATTTCAGGCCTGAGGGGGCCCATTTCAAGCTTGAGAAGGCCCATTCCATGCCCTAGAGGGCCTGTTTGGGGCTAGAGAGGGCCCGTTTGAGGCCAGAAAGGGCCCGTTTGAGGGCTGAGGGGGCCCATTTCAGGCCCTAGAGGACCTATTTGAGGCCTGAGAGGGGCCCATTTCAGGTCTGAGAGGGCTAATGTCAGGCCTGAGAGGGTCCATTTCAGGCCATAGAGGGCCCATTTCAGGCCCTAGAGGACCTATTTGAGGCATGAGAGGGGCCCATTTCAGGCCTGTGAGGGCCCATTTGATGCTGGGGCCCATTTTAGGCCTGAAGGGGTCCATTTCAGGCCCCAGAGGGCATGCTTGAGGCCTGATAGGGCCCATTTCAGGCCTGAGAGGGGCCCATTTCAGGCCTGAGAGGGCCCATTTCAAGCTTGAGAGGGCCCATTTCATGCCCTAGAGGGCCTGTTTGAGGCTAGAGAGGGCCCGTTTGAGGCCAGAGAGGGCCCGTTTGAGGGCTGAGAGGGGCCCATTTCAGGCATAAGAGGCACCATTTCAGACCTGAGAGGGCCCAGTTACGGTATGAGGGGGCCCTTTTTCGACATGATAGGGACCATTTCCGGGCTGAGGGGGCCCATTTCAGGTCTGAGAGGGCCAATTTCAGGTCTGAGAGGGCTAATGTCAGGCCTGAGAGGGCCCATTTCAGGCCCTAGAGGACCTAGCTGAGGCCTGAGAGGGGCCCATTTGAGGTCTGAGAGGGCCCATTTCAGGTCTGAGAGGGCTAATGTCAGGCCTGAGAGGGCCCATTTCAGGCCCTAGAGGATCTATTTGAGGCCTGAGAGTCTACTTCAGGCCTGAGAAGGGCCCATTTCAGGTCTGAGAGGGCCCAGTTCAGGCCTAAGAAGACATCCCAGGAATGAAAGGATCATCCTACGTGTGGGAGGCTCCGTACTCCGTGCCTGGTCTGGGTCTGAGAGGGCCTACCCCAATCCTGATTGAGCCGATGTCATGTTTGATATAGGTCAACTCACCACATGTATATTGATGGCCCAGTTCATGCCTAATGGGCCCATCTCAAGACTCGGAGATTTTATGCTTCAGGAAGCCTACCCCAAGCGTGAGGGGGCCCATAGAGATTTTTGAGGCTCATGGAGGTCAGAAGCGGCGGACCACCTTCAATTAAGGGGGGGGGGGCACTGCCGACTTTTGGTCCCATTCTTTCCATGCAACGCCCATAGGGCTAATGTTAAAATGCCAAAATCAAAGGGGGGCACGGTGCCCCGGTGCCCTCCCCGTTCCGCCGCTTATGATGGAGGTCCCGCAGTACGAGATATGTCAGCCTCTGAGAAAGCCATGCAGGGCCCTGCCAAGCCGACATCTGAAAATCTTCTCCTCAGGCCTGTGCCTGCCTCACCGCCCGGCCCCACCCCGACGTCTAAGGGTTTGACGACTAGGTATTTATCAGGACCCCACACCGGTCCATGATGGCTCTAAACTGACACCTGAGACTCCTGCACCGGCTTTTGAGGGGCCCACCGACCTCTGATAGCCACCACGCAGGCCTCAAAAGACCATGTCGATTGTCGATATCTAAACCCCGAAGTCTTGGAAGGCCTGTGCTCTATGTAGATTCTTGAGGGCTTTACGTGGGCTTTTAAATATCCCAAACTGGCTCTAACTAGCCTAGCTCGACCGCGCCCCGCAGAGCAGGGCCCCAGGCTTTCCAGTTTTACGCCCCTGAGGGGTGTTTGAATATCCCCTTCTAACCTGACTCCAGGGTCACGTAACGACAAGTGCGGCATGGTAGGCGGCTTTCTAAAGAGCGTCGAAAATCATGGAGAAATTGCTTCAGTCATATTGCAGTTCAGACCAAAGCACACGTCATCATGTTCATCGAAGGAAAAGTTTCGCCTATTTCGACACTCGAGGACATAAAAAGCTATAGCGCGCTGAAAGTGGGTTCGATAGCTCTAACTCGTGCAATCAGCCATGGGGGGGGGGGCCTATCGGCCAAACCCGATCATAATTTAACCCTATTAGTGGCAGGCTCATGGCTACCCCCTATTAGTGGCAGGGGGGGGCTGTTAACGACCCCCCTTGATATCTTGAGATCTAACGGGCCGATTTTCAAAATTCAAACGGCATTCGATTTCGCTCAACGTGATCTACATTTCTAAAAAATAAAAATTAAAAAATGTCAATAGGGGGGGGGGGGTAGAGGGGGGTAAAAACGGGCAAATTGCAGATACATTTTAGACTGTTTATCACGGCCAGGTTTCTGAACCGATCTTAACGCAACTTTTGCCGATCGATAGAGAATGAACCAGGAATTCACATGGATCCTAAAAATATGCATTTTCAAAAATCATAGGCGGATACAGATCATTGAGATTGGGGGTACACAAAAAGTATAGTAAATAAGGTTTTTGTTGGTACTGTTTCTAAAAAGGGTGGTAATGGTCTTGTTATGTTACAATTTTCTTATGAGAGAACGACTACAATTGTATTGGTCATGCATAGGCGGTGTCAGGGCACCTATGTTGGGAGGTAAAACATAACCCCCCTTTTTGGACGCCTGGATCCGCCTATTATAGCAAAAACGTGTCAAGAGGATGCACAATAACTGTATATGTTATCACATGATACCTTTCATTCACTGTTCGTAAAACTGGTGCAGCATCGTGATCTTCGCCCAAATGACTCGCTTCACGAATAGGACCCCCCAATTCCCAGTGCTCTGGAGCCGCCCCTGGTAAAGTTATGAACTTGAAATTTTCAGGGAATGTGCCCAATTTAGTTTTAGGAAAAGTCAGAAAATTTCAGCATCGTAGCTTCAGCGGTTTCGGAGATATTCTCGAAAAACCTGAGGGGTGGATAAAAACAACCCCCCCCCCCTGCCACTAATAGGGTTAAGACGGCTAGAAAGACGAGAAAAGCAACGGATAGCTATAGGATGCTTCAGAATCGTAGAGGTCATTTTTCGATTAGGTCATCGCTGAGGTCATTGAAGATGTAATTATGATAAAATTATGATAAACACAAAGACAAGATAACGACGAAAACATTCTTGTTTTTATATTTTTCACAAATAACCGTATAACTCGTGAACCAAAGAGCTAGAGCTTTGCGGAACAGCTCATTCGATAGGCCTTTCAAAACGCTTTCGCTTTTAAGATTTGACCTCAATGCCTCATGTCAATGGTTTGGCAACAGAGCAGAGGGTGAAACGGCAAAACCATCTAAATAGTCGCATTTTACCAAAACAGTTTTGCTAAGAATTTTTGCAAGGACTTTGGTGAGAAAAACTATGAGACATTTACTTTGTCATCATTCTCTTGTTAACACGCATCGAATGAGCAACCTATAATTTCACATAAAAAGTTCAACTTCAAAACGTGACCGCAGATCAAGGTCATGCCCTTACTTGAGAAGTTCATGGTGTCATCAACCGATCCGTATGGATGATTAACACCTTCAAGACAATGTCATAACTCTACCTCCTCTCCTATATCAAAAGTAACAGTCGAA